TAACATTCAAAACCTGTTCTTTCCCCTTCTGCTTCACCTTAGCTCACCTGATCCAGCCTTAAAAAATATTTATTTATTTAGGACAGAGAGAGAGAGAGAGAGAGAGAGAGAGAGAAACTGTCATCTGCTGGTTCACTTCAAATGCCTGCAATGACTAGGGGTGGGTTAGGCCCTAAGCCAGGAGCTGGGAACTCAATCCAAGTTTCCCTGGTAGGTGGCAAGAAGCCAATTATTTGATCCAGTTATTTGAATTATCGAATTATTGAAGCAAATTACTTGATTCCCTTGTAGGGTCTGCATTAGCAGGAAGCTGCAGTCAGCAGCCAGAGCTGGCACCTGAATCCATGTACTCCAATATGGGATGTAGACCTCTTAACTGGCATCTCAGCTGCTGGACTGAACCCGCCTGATCTCGCTTTGAGTACAGAATAAGGCCTAAGTATGAAGACCTTCAAAAAGTCTGTGAAAATTGCATATTATAAAAAAGCTGTATAAGGACTTTGAAATTACAGCAAAAATAAACATATTTTATTGACATTTTTCATGAACTTTTTGAAGTACTCTCATATGTTTCTTATAAGTTTTTTTTGCACATATAAGCAAATAAACAAAACTACCCAAGGGTGGTAAACTGTTAGCACTCAGATCTGGACAAAGGAAAATAGATGAAGCAAAGTAGGTTCATCCTGATAGGAATGAGGGCAAAGGGCTGGGACACTCTTTTGGCCTTGCTTCTGGACTCATGGAAACTTTCTTGACATTTCTAGAACGCAACAAAACACCCCACAGTGGCATGGAGAACACAGACTTCTTAACCTTTCATCCACTCTGTTAACTTTTAACCCACCCTGGAGAGAGCAGTTAAATGAGGCCTCTGACTAGGTTCAGGTATATATTTTGGTTAAATCTGCCCTCGGAAATGTATTGGTTTATGTGTTTCAGGAAATATAAACATTATTATATAACATATTTTATAAATATAAAATGTTATGTTTTTCTGCTAAAGATGTCTGTCTGTCATAGTCTGTTTTGTGGTGTAACAAACTACCTGAGTCTGGATAACTTACAAAGTAAACACAATTACTTGGCTTGTGATTCAGGTGACTGACAGGTCCAAACAGCATGGTGCTGGCATCCTGGCAAGGGCCCCCCGGCTGCATCATGACACAGCAAAGAAGTGCAAAGGGGACGAGCTGTGTGCACAAGGACGCAGGTGGGGACAAGTGAGCAAGATCTGTGAAGGGATAAGTCTCGATCCTTTCATCCAAAGCTGCTCTCAGGAACTAGTCCACTCCTACCAGACCTGATCCACTCCCCTAAGACAGCATTAATCCATTCATGACAGTGGAGACCCCGGAACCTAATTGCCTTCCTCTATGCTCCACCTCTTAAGGATTCTGCTACCTCAACAATGCCACACTGGGGACCAAGCTTCTGGCACTTGGCCCCTTGGGGGACCCACCCAAACTGCATCTGAAACATAGCAATGCCTTACTCTTCATGCCTCTGTCTCATGCAATGGATCAAGCTCTGTTATTCAGATACCTTCGTGGATTATTTTGGGGAAGAGTTCTTTCTAGCAAAGTTGATAGAATCTGGGGACTGAAGTGAGCACTAGATTGGTGACTGCAGTAACACAACCAAAACCAAAAATTAAATCACCTAAATTGGGAAGAACTCCTAATGGCCCAGATATTGATAACAAGGAAGAAGATTCAGAAGACAAAAATAATTTTGGTGCTAAACCTCCCTATCAGAACAAGGAATGTTACCCTGATGAGAAGAGTTATTAATATAGACTTGGACTAGGTAACATTAAATTGGCTTATTTCTTCAAGTAATAAGATATCTTTGCCATAGTATTTGACTCTACATAACATACTGAGACTATTTATATTTTATTTTTTAAGGATGTTTAGAAGTTTTATGTATTATATGGAAGAAGAAAAAAGCTTCAAGTCTGTAGTTTTTATGATCCTAAAAGGGAAAATTGTCTTGGTGAATTTCAGATTCCTGTGAAATTGTGAATACATACTAAGCTTTTGCAGTATTACTATTTGCATCCCTGAGGATGAAACTGACTTCTGTCTTTTGGAGAATAGAACCAAATTGTACTGCTTGTTCAAGAGGGTCATGACTAAAATCTTTTAAGCATTTGTTCTTGCCAAGGTTTTCTTGTATTTTGCTCTCCACTGTAGCATGTGTGTGATTTTTTTTTTTAATTTAAGGTATACAAAATCATGAATTTCCTAAATACAAATTTAGGAACATAGTGATTCTTCCCACCCTACCTTCCCTTCTATCCTCACTCCCACTCTTATTCCTCCTTCCTCTCCTATTCCTCAAATGGCTTTCTAAAATTAATTCTGGGCCTGCGCCACAGCTCACTAGGCTAATCCTCCACCTGCAGTGCCGGCACACTGAGTTCTAGTCCCGGTCGGGGCGCCGGATTCTGTCCCAGTTGCCCCTTTTCCAGGCCAGCTCTCTGCTGTGGCCTGGGAGTGCAGTGGAGGATGGCCCAAGTGCTTGGGCCCTGGACCCCATGGGAGATCAGGAGAAGCACCTGGCTCCTGCCATCGGATCAGCACACTGCGCTGGCTGCGGCGGCCATTGGAGGGTGAACCAATGGCAAAGGAAGACCTTTCTCTCTGTCTCTCTCTCTCACTGTCCACTCTGCCTGTCAAATAAATAAATAAAATTAATTCTGTCCAGTAGACTATGACTTTGTGCTTTGACATTGTTAAAAATTCATTGAGAAAAATAAAAGCTAGTGAATGTTAGCAAAACAAAAAACTTTATTATTATTTTTAAAATTTTATTTAAATACAAATTTCATGCATTTCCTATATACAGATTTAGAAGCAAAAGACTTTAAAATTGTATCTTGGGGGCCGGTGCCGTGGATCACTTGGTTAATCCTCTGCCTGTGCGCCAGCATCCCATATAGGCACTGGGTTCTAGTCCCGGTTGCTCCTCTTCTAGTCCAGCTCTCTGCTGTGGCCCGGGAGGGCAGTGGAGGATGGCCCAAGTGCTTGGGCCCCTGCACCCGCATGGGAGACCTGGAAGAAGTTACTGGCTCCTGGCTTTGGATCAGCTCAGCACTGGCTGTTGTGGTCATTTGGGGAGTGAACCAGCAGAATGGGAGACCTCTTTGTCTCCTTGGCTCTACCTCTCTCTGTAACTCTGTCTTTCAAATAAATAAAATAATCCTTTTTTTTAAAAAAAAGAAGTGAAGTAGCCCACATGGGATGCCAGTATTGCATGTGCTGGCATTATCTGCTATGCCAGAATGCCAGCCTCTTTTATTTTTAATTTGAGAGGCAGAGAGAGAGAGAGAGAGAGCACTTTGATCTGATGGTTTGTTCCCCAAATGCCCACAATGGCTTGAACTAGGCAAAGATAAAGCCAGGAGCCAAAAATTCAATCCAGGTCTCCTCTATGAGTGTCAGAGACTTGATTATTTAAGCCATCACCTGCTGCTTCCCAGGAAGCTAGAAGTTGGAATCAGGAGCCAGAACTGGGAATTGAACCCAAGACTCCAATATGGGATGTTGATGTCTTAACTAGCATCTTAACCACTAGGTTAAATACTCACCCCAGTCTTTTAAAAATATATTTATTTATTTTAATCTACTTGAAAAACAGAGTGACAGAGAAAGAGAAACAGAGACTTATATATATATATAGAGAGAGAGAGAGGGAGAGAGAGAGAGAGAGAGAGAGAGAGATCTTCCATCTGCTGGTTTACTCTTTAAATATCTGCAATATCCGCAGCAGCCAGGACTGGACCAGGCTGAAGCCAGGAGCCTGAAACTCTACCCAGATATTATTATATTTTTCTTTAGATAAATTTTTTTATTGTAATGTATAACAGACATCTAAAAGATATGTAACTTTGCTTAATGGGTTACTTTAAGTTGAATGTTCTTGTCACTACTATCCGCATCAAGTTTTGTCAGTTTTTTCCCATATATTTTTTAAAGATTTATTTATTTATTTGAAGGGCAGAGTTACAGAGAGAAAGAGAGAGCAATAGAGAGAGAGAGAGAGCAAGAGAGAGAGATTTTCCATCCCCTAGTTCACTCCCCTAATGTCCACAATGGCTAGAGCTGAGCCAGTCCATAGCCAGAGCTTCTTCTGGGTCTCCCACATTGCTGCACCTGGGCTAGCTTCTTCTGCTTTTCCAGGTGCATTAGCAGGGATCTGGATTGGAAGTGGAGCAGCTGGGATTCAAACCAATGTTGCTGGAGCCACAGGTGTGGCTTTACCCACTATGCCACGGTGCTGTCCACCCCCACTCCATGTTTTGAAGCTATATTGTTAGGTACATGAACAATTAGAATTGCTCTCTCATTATAAAATATTGCAAGAGATACATACTAAGATTTAGAGACCTCCCCTTTCTGTTTCTGTGACAATAAAATTCCTGAAAACAAAGTTTTGGCTAGAATGTGTTGTGTTTGAGAGCAAATGAATAGTGGTTGCTCAAAGTAGGAATGGGGAATTTCTTCTAACAGGAAATGCTGTACATCCCTCCTACCAGTGATAACTCCTCCGTGTGTCACGTTAGGGAGTTGATGTCCTTAGGGAAGCAGTGTAGGGAAGGCATGGCTAAGAGGGGAAGGACTTTGAATTCAGACCGGTCCACTGTTTACCCACTTAATGCTATGTGACTTGGGCAACTCACTTACCCTCTCAAAGTGTCCATTTTCTTTCCTATAAAAAGACATCAAGAGTGCTAGGGCTATTTTATTAGTACTTTGGCTTGATGAGAATTAAGGGAAAATATCCAGACATAATGCATAGTACAATGCTTGGCAACAATGAACATCCATTAAATGTTAACCAAGACTGTATTATTACTGTCTTGTATTTCTGACCTCACCTGAACTGAAGCTTCATTTACCATACTTTGTGTGTAGTAAATCCTCTGCCCTTTGGCCTTTGCTTGTGCAGTGCCCTAAGCAGATGCTACCTGACCCTGATCCCCTTTGTTACAGCACAGGTGTGTGTTGGAATCATCGTGATACTGATCATACACAACTATTGGTTCCTTTACATCCCCTATTTCACATGGCTTTATTTTGACTGGCGAACCCCAGAACAAGGAGGCAGAAGGTTTGACTGGATCAGAAATTGGACTGTTTGGAGGTACTTTAAGGACTATTTTCCAATTCATGTGAGTAGAATTGTTTTGTATTGTTTTGAATTGGGAGAAGAATGGACATTTGTTTTCAACACATATATCTAAAATTTTTCCTGTTCAGAGGGAGTATCTCAGTTTGTTTTTTTTTTTTTGCTGTTATAACAGAGTATCAGAGACTGGTTAATTTATAAAGAAAGAAAATTTATCTGTCACAATGCTGGAGGCAGGGTAGTCCAATGTCAATATGCCTAGCAAGAGCCTTCTTGCTGTATCACCCTGTAGCAGAAGAGTAAGAGAAGCCAGAGAGAAAGAGAGGGCCAAATACCTCCTTTTATGGTAGGGAACCCACTCCCACAGTAATGACCTTGAGCCATTCGCTCTGCCCTCATAGTTTGATTACCTTTCATTAGGCCCCGCCTCCCAACATTGCTGCATCCGGTGTTGAATTTCCAACACATACTTTTTGGGGGAAGTATTCAAAGTCCAGCAGGAAGGAAGCCAGAAATTTGGCCCAACTTACTAAAGGAACTCTAAGCTGAGTTGACAAAGTGTAGAAGACTGCACACAAAGGAGTCTGAAGTCAGGAGACAGTTTAGAAATTTGAAGACAGCTCCAGCCCAGGGAATTAAAACAAGTTGTGTTTTCCGTTTCCTCCTGACACGAGAACTCATCACGAATCCTTTTGTTTCTTATTGGAACCTAATCAGGGGATATTTTATTTGTTTTTTTATCTCAATGTGAATGTGCTGTAGCTCATCAAAACGCAGGGTCTGGATCCAAGTCGCAACTATATATTTGGGTTTCACCCTCACGGAATTCTTGTGGTTGGAGCCTTTGGAAATTTTTGTACAAATTACTCGGAATTCAAGGAGCTGTTCCCCGGCTTCACTGCGTATCTTCACGTGCTCCCCTTTTGGTTCCGGTGTCCTCTCTTCCGAGAATACCTAATGACTTGTGGTAAGTGATGGCAGGTCATTCTTTCCTCAAGGCCCTGGGGTAGCAGGAGCACACAGATCCTTCCTTCCCAAGCCCACTGGGCTCCCAGCCTCTTAGCGGAAATGTTTCCTGTGCCCCTCTCCCTGCCTGTCCCTTCACAGGCTGCCTGGTGTTTCTTGCTCCTCCCACCCCTTCCCACTGAACTGGAAGTGCCAGGATCACACAATTGTGTCTTTTTCTGTTCCACGCCAAGGATCTAGCATGGTGCCTGAAACATAGCTGTGTTCAGGAAATAGTAATGCAATGAAAGAATAAATTAGTGAATGCATTTTACATACCTGTGTGCAGAAGAAAAAGTCATACATCAAACAAGTGATGTCACACTCTTGGAGAGGCGCTTTGCATGCTTTTGTGACCTTAGGAATGGAAAATGTCCTCTATGTGTCTTGGTAATGTCATAAATTAAACATACTCAATTTGCTTTTTCTTCCCACATCAAATATAACTTGGTCAGAAACTAGTCCATTTACTATGCTACCCTGAACCAAAAGAAGACTTTTTGACTAGTGAAACTATAATTGTGCCAATTCCGAGAATGAAGTTTATATGAAATACTATAAAGATACTATATAAATGTGTACAGAAGGCTATCCTTGGGTTAATAGTTCTCATTTCAACTAAAGAGGCTCAATGTATTTTGTTTTCCACCTTGAACTACTTATTGACTGTGGGGAGCAATCCGGACTAGACTAAGTTGCTCGAATTAGGACTTATTCTATGCATCTGCTCTCCCACAATATGGCGATGGGAGAGAAGTAAACAGCTTCCGCACAGCTGCCTCCAGTTCAACCAATTAACTGTAGGACTTGCTCCTGATTGGAGAGCAGCGTACTCAGCCGAGTTGGGATTGGCGGAGGAGGACTATAAAGGAGGAGAGAGACGGCATGCACCGGGAACATCTATGGGGAACATCTAAGGGAACCCGTGCAGCCCCCGAGAGAACCGGCCGGCGGTGTGCCGCTCCCCTGCGGAAGTGGGGAATGCGGCCAGGGGGAACTGCCCTTCCACGGAGGTGGAAGGGATAGTAGCCAACCCGGGAAGAACCAGCAGCAAACCCGGGGAGGGCCGAGCAGACGAAAGAACAGCGCAGGGTCCTGTGTCGTTCCTCCACGAAGAGGGGGAGCGACAATTGACTAACATGAACTATAGTAACTTAAAAAGTGCATTACATTTATGAAGGTTGTGTGGATTATTTATTATCATTTTTGCATTTCTTGGATATAAAGAAAAGTGAATGTTCTGTTTTTGAAGCATTGTAATTTCAGGGTCAATAAATGACATTTGGGGACAGAATTTTTCATGATTTCTCAGATTTTCATTACTTCCAATTAATTACCTGACTCACTGTTATAACTATGTAACTAAGTACCAAAGGGCCATGGTCCACCCCTGAGTATTCAGGTTCTGTTTTTGCTTAAACTCACAGAGCTCAGTCCAGTCTGGATAAGAGGGTGCACTAGAGGGCGCAATATACATCCCAAATTACGAAAAGGTTCTGCATCCAGCCTCTAGAGGGTGCACTAACCTCCTCAAACTACCAAGAAGGGAATGAAGGGAACACTCCTCTTCCTCGGTTTGCTTACATTAGATATGAGTTTTATTGAAGGAAGAAAATTAAAGGCATATGTTAAAAATTTCAAAACAGTACAGAAATATGTTTACAGAATAGTCTTTGCTGAGTCAAAGGGTAGCCACAGGTGAGTTCGTAGTTGGCAGCAGGTGAGTCAAATTCATGGCATAAGAGATGTAGGTACACCCCTCTGCATGGCCATGTCAGACACAAATTTAATAAGTCTCAGAGTCTCTTTTCATATATTGTCCCATAATCTCTGCCTTTTACAACAGCTCATTTGGGATGAAACTTGTCTGCCGTCATTGGCTTATCACATAAATCCTTCCCTTTGCTATAGCCTTTAGTGTCCTAAAAGTTAAAGAAGAATATCCATGCCCATAGCCAGTGGAGATTTATGTTGTCCCTGTCTCTAAGTCTAGAGAGCTTTCGGTAATGTCCAGAACTGCTTCCTGGGACAGCCAGCCCCTGGTGCAAGAGGACCCTTCCATTCTGCCTGCCACGGTGGCTGTCTCTCTGGGTGTGAAAGACTGACAGATATGTGCACCAGACCTCATGCAGAAAGGACTCAATGAAGTTTCAGGGGTCCCTTGCTGACAGATCTTACCAAAGAGATCTTTGTTCTTACCAAAGAGGTTTTTGTGGCTATAAACTCTTAAATGCCACCTCCAAACCATTCATCTTGGCCCGTACTGGTGTATCTACTCACCAGAGGTCAGCCAGAGCAGACATTTTCTGTCTGCCTATCAAGGCTGGGCAGATAACAGGAGTCAAATCACAATAGCCTTCTTTATTTACTATGCAGAGGACTTTAGATTGTATCTTGCAGGTAAGCTACAGGGAACTTGGTAGGGAATGAACTTGGTAGGCAAAGGAGGGTCCTGGTTGGATTGTACTTGTTAGAAAGATTATTCAGGCTCCAGCTTGGAGACAAGTTGGAGGGAGGTGAGCCTGGAGACTGTGGCGATGGGAAGGGCTCATTGCAGTGGTCAAAGGAGAGAGTTGGTAAGGGCCAAATTAGCACAGTGCCTGTGGCAGTGCAAACACAGAAGAGATCAGTATGAAAAACAGTTGATAGAGTCAACAAGACATGGTGGCTGATTCTACCTCATGAAGGCATCAATAATGTCATTATTATCAGCCTCTAGCACAGTACCTGGTCTGCAGCAAGTGCTCAATAATGCATCTGAGTTCATGAATTAGTGGCCAATCAATATGGTGGCTAAGAGAGGGGAATACACGTGGGAGAAATGATGTTTCTGATTTGGGTGATAGGTAATGTTGGAAGAGGTACCACTGTAAGGGAGATTTTGATGCACTGGGTTTGGGGAGATGGAATTTGAAATGCCTTTGAGCTGTTGACATAGAGAAGTTCATTGAGAACATTGAAAATGTGGGCCTGGAGGCTGAGGAGGAAGATCTGCTGGAAGATGAAATCGGGAGAATTCACACAGGTTAGTGCAGTTGAGCCTGTGGTGTGAACCAGTTTAGAAGACTTGAAAGAAAATGAAGGCGCCCTGAGAAATGGTAGTGTTTAAGGATGAAGTGGCCTGAGGCAAGCTTGGAGAGAGCTGTGTCTGGGAATCAGGAGGCCCTCTTTCCAGGGGGAGAGACAACGCCTCTCAGTTCCCATTCAAGTCTTGCAGAGCAGAACAGTATGCCTTAACCTCAGTGAATTCAGAAGAGGCAGGCTCGGGTTCTCTGACATCTAATGCACCACCCTCTGCCTCTGCTGTCAGTAGAGTAGTTGGTCATTGAGAATCCTGAATCATAGTATATTCCCACAAGAATAACAACCTCTAGTAAAATTCACGTGCCATTTTCCCTTCAAAAGATGAGATGTGCTATGTCTTTGTAAAGCCTGTCTAACATATTCTGTTATGACTTTAAAAGGCTGGACAAAACCCAGAATAGAAGGAAACATGCAAGGTGTTAAAGGCAATTATCAACAAAATGTGGGCCATTTGCAGTTTGTGTTTTTGTCTTTGTATTTTCCTCCAAGAGTCTATAGTGGATGCAAAATCTGAAAAGGAATCTTTAGAGTTGTTTTCACATGGGAAAGCCTGATATACAGAAGAACCATGAATGTGACTAATTTAAAATGAATGATTTACCCAACTCAGACTATACATTTGGAACCACCACGAAGAGATCTGGCAAGTGATCTATGTTATTTGTCAAATGTCTGAGCTTTTGAGACCATTTCCATTATAAATCCAGGTCTGGTAAACAAAAATCCATATAGGATCTCAGAAGACAGGCTGTTGTGTGTTCAGAACATCCTTGCAACCTCTTAGATGTATTTTTGGTTCTAAGCAAGGATCTGCCAGGGTAATGATCATGGCCACCACCTATAGCTGTGCAGGTGTGCAACAAACAACTCCAGGGTGTTGAGGTGCACCTTTTACTAAGCAAGCAACATGAATGGAGTCTAATAGAGTTCAGCAGTGCAAAACCCATCCATACAAATGGTAGATTCATTAAGATCAAGTAATGATTTAAAGACCTAACCCATTACCTGTCAGAATGTTAGATCTTATCAATAAACTAACAAAGAGTTTGCTATGCAAAAATTTTAAACTTGCAAAATGCTCCAAAGGTAAACAGTATAGGGAATTTTGTTAAATGTACGCTGTTGCTCTAGAATATAATAACATTTTTAAGTTTAAAAGGGGTTGCTCAGTTACACTGTTTGTTTTGTTCACTAAGGACCAGTGTCTGTTTCCAAGAAAAGTGTGTCCTATGTGCTGAGCAGGCAGGGAGGTGGGAACATTTCAGTCATTGTCCTTGGGGGAGCAGAAGAGTCACTGGATGCCCACCCTGGAAAATTCACGCTGTTCATCCGCCAACGGAAAGGATTCATTAAAATTGCTTTAACCCACGGGTAGGTGGCTTTTCATTTCAGGTAACTGGTTTGGGAAAATTAAGACATTATTGAATTAACACAAAGAAATAATGTAACTATTCTAGCCCTTATGGACAGACTCCCTCCAGAAGAATCTTATAATAAAAGTAGATGTGGGCATTCCTGGGGATTGGAATATGACCTTCCTACTAAGATAACTCACTGCTACAGCATCCAGCAGTTACATTTAACTTTAAAAACAGAAAAACACTCAACAGCAAGAAGCAAAAGCTAATATACACATGGCAATTCCCAGCCAAATGAACAATGAACAAAGCTATAGGTAAATGCTTCCTAGAACTTTAATTTTCTGCAGAATAAAAATCTTGCTAGCTGAAATTCCTTGCCAAAGGATTTCAATTATAAGTTTCAATGTATGGAACATGAAGTTAGCAGTGTAAGAATTTAAGCTACTTAGGAATTTGTTGGAAATTTCAGCTGGGCAAAATACATTACTCCAGTCCTTTTCATTTAAAATTCTTATTCTTCACCTTTGTTACTTGTAGTGCCTATTTGGTCCCTGTGTTTTCTTTTGGTGAAAATGAACTGTTTAAACAAATTAACAACCCTGAAGGCTCGTGGCTTCGAACTGTTCAAGAGAAACTGCAGAAGATCACGGGGTTTACTTTGCCACTATTTCATGCCAGAGGAATTTTTCAGTACAATTTTGGCCTAATGCCTTATAGGAAACCTATCAACACTGTTGGTATGTACATAAAATGGATAAAAATAGTTATCTTACCTTAAGCAATACTTATTGCTATTGACTGAGGTGCTCATGAAAGAGAAGTAGCTTTGACTAAGAACTTCATAAAATAATAATCGTATAGCTGTTATGTGAGCTTCATTTACCATATGCCTTTTATTTATGAAATTATTACATTTTCTATTTGAATGAGAATTGATTACTTTCTAGAATACTGCTGTTGAACTACAGGTAGAATCCAATAGTGTTTCTAATAGTCTGTAATGAATATTTCTGTGTGCCAGAAGATTAAAGCATAACGATTCTTTGATGAACAGGTTACTTCATGGTGTATTAATAAATGAAAACTTCCATATAATAGATGCCTTCATCATGGTCAGTTCATGTAGGCAGCAGTTTCTATAGAAAAAGCATTTTTTGCAACTTGCTGTATTTATATGCATTTCAATATACAATGATTGTTATTTTAAAAAGTTGCGTGTTTGAGAGATTGAGAAAGGGAGAGGTGAGTGAACATCATGTTGATAAGAGGACACAAGAGCAAGTCTGCTCAAGTTGGAAGGAGACTTAAAGAGCTAAAAATGACAAAGTAATGAGCTGTTGCAGAATTAACCAAAACTGTATACTTTGTATGAAACTGGAAATAATATTTTCTCCACAAATAGCTAATTAAATGAAATTCCAATGAGATCCAAAGATTTTTTAGTTCTCCTTCCTTAGAATAGGATTTTACTCCTAGCAGTTTGTAAAAATTTTGCATTTCACATGCAGTCTTATGATGTTATTTTTATTTTTTTTTTAAGATTTATCTTATTCATTTTGAAAGGCAGAGTTACAGAAAGAGAGGAAGAGAGAGAGAGAGAGAGATCTTGCATCTGCTGGTTCACTCCCCCAATGGCCACAACAGCCAGGGCTGGGCCAGACGAAACCAGGAGTCAGGAGCTTATTACAGATCTCCTATGCGGGTGCAGACGCCCAGGCACTTGGGTCATCTTCCACTGCTTTCCCAAGCATATCAGGAGGGAGCTGGATCGAAAGTGGAGCAGCCTGAACTTGAACCATATGGGGTGCCAGTGTGGCAGGCAGCAGCTTCACCTGCTCCACCACAGTGCCAGCCCCTGCTGTTGTTTTTAATGTTGTATCTAACAAAATTGGAATATTTGCAGCCTGTAAATTAGTGTGCAAAAGAACACTGAGAAAACTTTAAGTTTTCAATTGTGTTTTTCAAGCTAAAGTAGCTACATTTCTTTGGTATAGTATTAGTTAATAATTTTTATATCTCTTAAGTGGGAATTTCTGTGGTTGGATTTTTAGGGGTAATACAAACGAATGTAAGGTGTTATTTTGGAAACTAAAAGTTCAGCTAGATACTCATATGAAATAACTTACAGTTGTTGAAAGCAAGTATATCTGTTGAGTTAAATGATTAGTTACCAACTGATTGGGTTAAGGTTTTTTGTTTCTTTAGTGTTCTTGGTCTCTAAAGTGGTTTGCCATTTGATAGAGTCAGGTTATAGCTCTACTGACAAAATAATGAAGTGGTAAGGGTGAAGTGGAACTGCTGAGTGTAAGCTAGTTGTAAGGATTTGAGAACTATAGTTCTTGTTTTCATTACTGCCTTTGCAATGTGTTTCTCTTGAACATTCAGAATAAAGGAAGATTTCTCTACTTACTCCTCACCCCAGACAATTACAGTAGTTCACAGTCTGTAGCATGTTTAGTGTCCCATTATCATTTGAAACCTTTAAAAGTCAAGTATAGAACATGAATGTTTCATAATGATTTAGCTGTTATGGTCTTGGGGTTGGTCTAATAGTAGGAGTCAGATGATGTAGCACAGCCCTAATTGTGAGGTAGACCCTCAAGATTATGTGTATTTAAAGATTTTTATTGAAGTAACATGAGGACAGAATATTTATAATTCCATAACAAAAGTAAACCTATGTATAAAATGCCAGAAGAGAACAAAACACACGATGATACTGAAACAATATTATTTTTTTGAAATTTTATTTATTTATTTATTTTTATTTTTTGACAGGCAGAGTGGACAGTGAGAGAGAGAGAGAGAGAGAGACAGAGAGAAAGGTCTTCCTTTTGCCGTTGGTTCACCCTCCAATGGCCGCCATGGCTGGCGCGCTGTGGCCAGGGCACTTCGCTGATCCGATGGCAGGAGCCAGGTGCTTCTCCTGGTCTCCCATGGGGTGCAGGGCCCAAGCACTTGGGCCATCCTCCACTGCACTCCTTGGCCACAGCAGAGAGCTGGCCTGGAAGAGGGACAACCAGGACAGAATCCGGCGCCCCGACTGGGACTAGAACCCGGTGTGCCAGCGCCGCATGGTGGAGGATTAGCCTAGTGAGCCGCGAGGCTGGCTTGAAACAATATTCTAAACTATGTCCATTTCTTTTTTAAAACAACATACTTAAATCCCAGAGTTCTTTGCTTACTCCGACATGAATTCTACCTGTACCACCCTAGGGAGGATTCGGGAACCTTCCAGAACTGCAAGTTGTTTTGCAGCACCCTTGTTCTCCCTTCTGCTAAATTACAAGTTTATTGAATTAAATAATTCCTATCTTGCACCATAAGAACTCAATGACAATATTAGTCTGGTTCATCCTAAGTTATCACTTCAGCTGTGATCCACTCACTCACAGGTATCCAGAGAAGCCCAGATTCTCTGTCCTATCAATAGTTCCGCACACAGCTTCCAGACTCTTGTTCATCAATGAACTGAACCAGAGCATTTGTTTCAGTTGTAGTATTTCTTATTAGCACTCTGATGGTTCTATCTTTTAATGTCCTAGTAACTAAGTCCCCTTAAAAATGCATTCTCAGTAACTCCAAAGTGCTACTTTAGGTCACAGGTGCCCTTTCTGCATATCCCTCACGGCAGACCTTGCTAAACCATCGGGTTTTCTGGCTTCTCCATCAAAATTCTCTCTTCTGTTTGCTGAGGGGCTTTCTCAATGGGCCTTCTTTGTAAAGGAGTTACTATATATAGGTGTATTTTCTTCACACATTTCACAAATAGTATGTCATTTATGTATTTCATGAATGTTTTTATCACTTTACCAAACTACAATAAAATATCCACATTAGCTGTATTTCATCAAGGGGTAAGGAGACAAACTGATTTCAATGTCACATTCATTCTGACAACCAGGAGAGACAAATGAAATACGTTTAGACTTTCAGAAAAACGTGTGAAGAATCATAGTTGCCATAAGTTAACGAGGCTTTGTGTCAGCACCACAGAGGCCCACGAGGGCAGAGGATCTGATTTGTTAGCTGCTTTTCCTGGGACCCACGGAGTAGGAGCTCAAGAAACATTTGCAGATAAACAGATTAGTCTTTCTTTATGCCTATCTGATCACAATGTTTAAGATTTTAGGAACAGGATAAGTACACATTAAAATTATTTTTTAGATTTATTTATTTTATTTGAAAGTCCGAGTTAGAGAGAGGGAGACCAAATGGCCAGAACCACCTGAGCTGGGCCAGGCCAAAGCCAGGAGCCAAGAGCCAGGAGCTTCATCCAGATCTCCCACATTGATACAGGGGCCCAAGGACTTGCTTTAGCAGGCGCATTAGCAGAGAGCTGGATTGGAAGTGAAGCAGCCAGGAATTGAACCAGCGCCCATATGGGATGCTGATGCTGCAGACAGCGGCTTAACATAGGATGCCACAGCACTGGTCCCCACATTAGGAATTTTAAGGTAAATCAATGAGTTCAAGTATTAGAGCCAGAACAGCAGGAGTGATGGGAAGTAGCATGATCGGACAATAAAATAAGATACCAAGCACACTTGCTATTAAAAGAGAAAACTTTATGTATGAAAGTATGTGCTAGTTTTAATTGTTTTAAACTTTATGTAGAAGCATTTAAACATTCAGAAAAGTTTCACATTCATGTCTGTGTACCTTTTTCTGGATCCAACACTTGCTAACATTTTTGTTACAGCTTTTTCTCTCTCTGTAATAAATAAACTTTCTACTGTTGTTATCACAGAAACATTTAGTAAGTGCACACATCATGACCTTTTGCTTCTGATTACTTTTATGTATATCTCTTAAGAAGATTGATTTCTTCCATAAGTACAATTAAGAAAAATTAACACTGATATAATACAATGGTGTAGCAGGTAAGATAAGGCGCCCACAGCCCATATCAAGAGAGCCTGGGTTCAAGTCGCTGCTCTGCTTGTGAGTCCAGCTTTCTGCTAACGCACATCCTGGGAGGCAGCAGGTTTGTGAGACCCTGCAATCCAGGTGGGAGACAAGGATTGAGTTCCTGGCTCATGTCTTTGGCCGGCCCAGCCCCAGCTGTTGCAGACATTTGGGGAGTGGGCCAACAGATAGGCACTTTCTCTATCTTCTGTCGAATTCTCTTTCTGTCTCTATGACTCTTGAAGAAGTGAAAATAAAATGTAAAAAAATAGTGTACAGTCTATATTCAGATTTGACCAATTGTCTCAATAGTTCCCTTTCCACCAGTGGTTTTTTTGTGTTTTTTTTTTTTTTGGGGGGGGGGGGGGGAGGGGAGGTTGGGGAGAAGAAAGTCATTTTTTCTCTGAGCTGAGTCATGTGTTACATTTAGTTTTCACATCTCATTTGCCTTCTTTAAGCTGGAATAGTTCTTCATCCCTGCTTTGTCTTTATGACGTGAGTAGTTTTGAAGGCACAGGCTGTTGTTTTGCAGAATGTTACTCAAGTCCGGCTGCTGTGTTTCACCTTGACTACTCTTGGTTACGTATATGTAGCAGCAATTGCACAGAAATGCTGTTTACTCCTCAGTGCATGGTGTCATAGGCATGTGATGTCTCATTGTTAGTAACACTAACTTTGATCAGTGGGCGAGGTATTTGTCAGATTTCTCCATTAAAAAGAAAGCATTCTTTTTTCTCTTTATTATTAAGGGACCTGGGATTGGTGTTACAGAGTCTTTGTAACTATCCTGTTCCTTGATACTTTTAATATCCATTGATAATTGTTGCCT